GTGAATAAAGGTTTCTTCAGCCAGGACACGCGAGGGCGTGATATCCCATACTTATGTGTTGTACCGAGTGAATCGACTGAAAGGGAACGCCCTATCAATCTCATCTTTTTATAACCGTACAGTACCCTTCATTTCATTTTAACTACTTTAACTTGCCAAGAATGAATGCTCGACCCGTAAAGTGACAGTTACTCAATGGCTGCAGCACCTCCAGAAAGCACAACTGCTCAAGATGTTTTTTAAACAAATTAAAGTGATTTCTTGAAAACATTTCATTTAAAATGAACATCAGCTGTTCGGTGGATCTGTCTTACCATTCTCCTGTTGTTTGGTGGAACAGTCAATCCAGTTGTGTTGGTTTGCTGCCCAGATCATCTCAAACTGGTGGAAAAGGATCTTGAACTTCCAGGAATACGGCACAAAAGAGTAGATATCGGGGGCGCTGTCACTCGCCCAATCCTGGATCAAATCTAAAAAAGAAAGGGAAAAGAAAAAGTGATTCTCGTAGACACATTTCTTTCATGATTGTTTGGGATTTCCTGATGTGTCAATACACACATGGCCAAATAAAAGAATCTGAAATCTTGCTCACCAGTGAAGAAGCTTTTCTGGGCGTAGATGAAATGGTACGTGGCCTTGTACACCTCAATCTCACACTGCCACGACTGGGGCATGTTCCATACCCGGGGGTAGCTGGCTATCACGTGGAACTAAAAAATAAAAAAAATGGGAAAGACAAAACAAATTTTAACCTTTGAGGCGCCTTGTGTGTATGCAACACTGGTGTCTCCTTGAATGCTGAAGGAAATGTAATAACTTTCGAGAATCTCTCCAAAACGTCAAATGAAAAGCTTCGTTGCTGATTGCCTGCTACTTACAGCCAACATCTCAGCCTCCAGAAGGGTCCTGTACTGCATGCTGCTGGTGGTGTCCACATGAAGCAGCTGACCTTTGATGGTGGGAGAGTATCCTGAAGGCAAAAGCAATCATCTTTCAAAAGCTAGACCTACGGTTAAGTTCTTGGAAACACTGTTATTTACCAAAGCTGCTTATGTTAACTTCCGGGAACAGAGGTGAGCACTGACATAATTTCATCTGCTCTGTGTGACAAATCGTTACATCTCAAAAACTATGGGTGCTTTCAAGGTGAGACAAAGGTTTGGCTGTGGAGGAGTTTTATAATGTTGCTTTAGTTCATTGTCATTCGTTTATGCAGTTTTTCAGTCGTGCTGAGGTCTGAACTTTGACTGGGCCGTTGCAACCTTGATTCTTTTCTTTTTTAACTTGTAGTTTTACAACTGTGGTGGGAATGACTGTCCTGTTGCATGACCCAGCTGTTTGATGGCCTCACATTTGACTCTAGAATACTTTGGTATACAGAGGAGTTCATGGTCAACTCTATGATTTCAACGTGGCCAGGTCTGATTGTCCTTTTTACTCAGTACAAAACAATGATTCTGAATGATAAAACCTTAACTTTACAGTTACACAAGTCCTAAAGCAAATAGTTGTTAACAATGTTCCTTACAAGCCATGACTTTACAAATGTTGGCAAACCTCAGTCTGTGTGCAACGCACAGAAGAGAGGAGCTGAGTAGTTGCAGCTTAGCATTGCATGGTTAACCTCACATACACCATTAAGTGATCACTTTAGGCAATCATTCAGCAATCTTTAATAAGCGATTAGTCATTTACTAAATAAGGAAGCAGGAGTTGAGTTAAAACAACTGTTATTTACTCTCGTTTAAATGTCTTCATTTTGTTTTTCAAACTATTTTTATATTTGTGAAATCATTCATAAGATCAGTGTTGTAATAAGATGCATTATGTAACTAAACTTTGTATTTAAAAGTTTAGTTACAGAAAAAAGGAAAAGAAAACAATCTCTAGGTCTTAGTAAGCTGAGTAATATCACAAAACAAAAATGCACGTAATGTAATTTTAGAATTTTTACAGTGCAATTTATAAAAATGATTTCCATAATAGTAAACCTACACACTAACGTACCAAAGATTTTAATAGTTTAAATCATTACAGCCCTAAATTGAATTTAAATTATATGGAGGATGTTGCACAATTTACTACATTGGTTCACTTTACGAAAAAAATCATGTTTAGGAAAAAAGTAAATTATGATTTATTAAATAACTGCCAGCAGAAACTGCAAAATTAAATTTAGCACACTTAAACATTATTGAGAAATAGGGCTGCCACGATTAGTCGACTAGTCACGATTACGTCGACTATTAAAATCGTCTACGACTAATTTAATAGTCGACGCGTCGTTTGAAGCTTTGTAAGATCACAAAAGATGCAGGAATGAGTAGTAGGATTTAAGAGTGTAATAACTGACTGAAACAGAAGATGGCAGCACTGCGTGTACAAGGATGCCAGCTGCCGTTAAACCCCAAAGAAGAAGAAGCTGTGTCCCATAATTCATAGCGCGGCCCAGAACAGTTGTCAACAATGGCGGCAGCTAGTTAGTTTTAATATTACTCTTATTATTCTTTTTGGGTCACAAAGTAAAGTTTAACATATTTTCAGGCGAGAATGTAGCTGTGTAAACCTCAAATATCTGCTCAGTTTATCAAGACACCACATATTTGCAAAAGCGCTCCGACGTTTTCGGAGACGTCTGTTACCCACCAGCTCGATAGCTAGCCGGGGTTCAAGGCTCACTAGAGCCGTGAGAACACCGGACTCCCGGCAAATCGTTTTCAAACCCACTGCCGTCTTTGGCTACTCAGGTGAAACATATATGTCACTTAGATAACTTACAAATGTTATTGTTTGGCTTTTTTCAGTATTTTATTTGTTCCTGAGTAAATCGGTTTGGCTGAGATTAAAGTTGTAGTTTTTATACAGCTGAATAAACGTCAAGCAGACAGCTGATTATCAGAAGTGTGAGATGCTCGAGAATATACTGTGCTGTTATATTTTAGATCGCAAGGAGCAGACGGCTGAGTTTATTAAACTCCACCGAAACAATCTGCAAATGTAATTAACATTTAATAAACTATCATTTTGTCTGTATTTTTAGTTAGCACATTCCTTAAACACTTAAAGCTGTAAGCTAATGATAGTTATATAAGAGAAGATGCTGCTGGTGCAATAAGCTGTACGTTTTATGTCCAATAGATGCATGATCTGATTAGTCGACTAATCGCAAAAATAATCAGTGACTAGTCGACTATCAACTAGTCTTTGTTTGTGGCAGCCCTATTGAGAAATGAATTTGATGAATATCAATGGTAATAAATATCTGAAATAATAATAAAAACAGAGATACCCTCATCTTCATCATTAGCCATACTATGAGCAGCTTGAAGAATCCATCGCTGTACACTTAAATGAACTTCTAGTGAGATCTGATAAAGCTGCTTATCACAGTAGCAGTTCAGCCATTATTAAGTGTAAAAGATGATTACTACATGATGAGAAAACTGCTGCGTGCGTCTACATTAACCAGGGCTGACCTTGAGCCAGGGGGATATTTGCTGATGTGAACACTCATACTTTGGTCTACTGCTGTTATTTCAGTGAAACACACACTTACCATTCTCTCCCACAGTCATGGGGATGTTGACTTCCAGGTAAGAGCCTGCACCTACATTCACATGAATGGCATTGGTTTCCTAGTAACAGGGATGAAGACGTATCAGAAGAGAGAGAAAGCAAGCAGCAATATCATACATGCTGTCAAATTATGAGTGGGCGCTTCAGAGAATAAAAATACAAGAAAGAAAAACATCACCTAATCTGAAGAGAAATGTGTTCAAAAGATGTAATAAAATGACAATCTTTCCTGACTCGAGCAATTTTAGGTTTTTATTCAACGTGTATTAATGGTGTTATTTAGTATGCACTTCACATGCTTTGTGAAGATCCCTGCACTGCTCCAGGAAGAAAATATGAAAAAGCATAAAACATGAACCAATATCAATAGCTCAAACATGGTGAGATATAAAGACAAAGACGAGCAGAACAGCAGGGAGACGAAGACAGATCAAAGAGTTTGGCAGGGGGAAAAAAAGCAGACAGGAGAGAGAGCAAGAGTCACCCTGTTTTTGGTGAAAAGCAGATCGATGGTGGCGTCAGCAATGATGTTCATGCGAAGCTCGAAGGCCTGGATCTGCCTGGGTTTTCCCGGCTGTGCCACCTCAGTTGCCTTCATGGCCTGGTAGTCTGCAGGCAGGAAGAACTTCCACAGACAGTCCCTGAAGAAGGTAAAATCATATTATAGAGCCAAGTCTAAATACTTACAAGTGTGAACTAATCATACCATCGGGGTGTTAGAATAAAAGACTTGATGACACCCCCCCCCCCTTCAGCCAGTTTCTACTGGCACATCTCTAAACTAAACTGTCCAGTAAATCAGGAGTTTTCTTTCTGTCATCAATCAAAACCAAACCCAATCAGTTTTGATTGGCTGCCTTCCAGAAGCCAGCCCTCGGCAAATACTGAAGCTGGATTTAATTTCTTTCCTGGTTCGTGAGCAATAGGTCATCATCTCAAACACATTCATTCATGTTTTAGTTGGAATGAAATCTAAAATATGGAAGTGCATAACGACCCTGAAAACAACTTCAGCAACCAAGCAACAAAGAGCTTTTTATGTGTACACAGGAACAGTAAGGATTTCACATAATGTTCAGAGATTTAAGGCAATAAAGAGATGGACACAGCATCAGTGCGCAGCCTACTGCTTGCAGACGTTTTTAATGGCTAGTACTTTGTGATGGCCTCCACAGACAATCTCCAACTTCTTGGTGTGCAGCTGATGACGCTTTTACTCGGTAGCCTTGGTGAGCTCAACAACACATGAAAAGGAGTTACGCTCCAGTTCTCCAGTTCATACCACATCACTGTAAATATGCTTGAAAGTATAACTGAGCCAGGATTAATATGTCTGGGCAGCTCACCCAAGGAAATTCTGTGTGTGCAATAATAAGTTTGTGGTATTACAGTGACAAAATCCTGAGCAGGACCTGTATGAACTACAATTAAAAACAGAGATGTCTTTAAAACGAATACCTCCAACTGTCAGCGTGTACTCTAAAAACCTATTAGTTCAGGTTTCATATTGCTGATTTTGTTTTGTCCATCTGTGCTCACCTCTGCCGGTCTGCCCAGGGCCCATAGTTGAAGTCAGTTCCTTTCCCACAGACGATGTCCAGACCCCAGCAAGGAGGCAGGTCCTGCAGCTTATCATCCTCACTGCTCGTCTCTGCTTCCTCGCCACTCTCCTGCTCGACAGGAACCAGACCTGGACACATACACAGTGAAAACGTCAAAACCTGGGTATCAGCAGAAGGCTGAACAAAAATACACAACTGCACTAAAAACAATCAAGAATATACTTTAATAGAGACAGCATACTGGCTGGTAAATTTTACATTTAGTGTCAGCAGCTATCAGTTATTCATGTTAATGTCTTAGCACAGAAATCTCAGCGGATGTGTGCATGCATGAGCTTACCTGGTTCATCTTGGTAATAGTAGATGTCAACATCATTGGACTGCATCACAACAAAGCCCTCTCCCATCAGTCTGGGGGGTCTAGATGAGAAATTCACAAAATGACAATTCGGGGGCAAATATGTTAAACAGAGACTTGGAACTCTGTGGCCTATTCTTCTATACTGTAAACCCATGATCTTTAATGCAATGCAATTCAGTCTCAGTGTACTTGAAAGAGCGACATTCACTTGGCAGCGTAATTGAGTAAAAAACAGCAGTCAATAAAATAAAATTATTCCAAGGTAACAAAAATCTTCTACTTGTGTTTTGTACAAACTAGATGAAAAATACAAACCCAGTCTCATCCTGTCTGTTCTTAAGATTCACACCATAGATATGCATGCGGCAGGATAGATGAGAAGCACTACGGAGAACTAGCACTAGTCATTATAATATGCTTAAAGAAATACGTGGAAATAAAGAAATAGGATATTCTTCAAGCCGAGTTATTTTTTTGGGCTACAACTCCTCTAAAAATGCTTTGAGGTAAAAAGTTTTATTATCAACAACACTGTAAACAGAGAAATACTGTTTATGTGCTTATCTTTGTTAGATGACTTGAACTCACTCGTCATTCTGCATGCCCAGGTAGCGAGGACTGGGAACCAGCATGACCCGCACATTCTCCAGTGAGCCTTTGACAATGTGCATGTACTGGTCCAAGTGGCTGGAGGGAGGTTTGGTGGCATACGTCAGGCAGGCATCCTCAAAGTTCATGCACAGAGTCTGTGGAAGGTAGTGGTTCCCAAATGCTAAGCGGCCCTACAAGACAGCAAACACACATTATTTTTTTATTAAATTGTATTACATGCCTCTAAAAGGTTTTGAGATGTTCTTAGGTACTTACAGTGCTGATGTTAACTTTGATGACGGGAATGAGGGACCGCCAAGATGATGAGGGATCCTGACTTTCAGCTTTAATGTTGACACTACACAAGAAACAGAAGACAGTTTCTTTAAGTGTGATGTGTGATTCTAGTCAGTTCAACTAATTTGACTGTCAGCAGGAAACGACAGTAGCTCTGTTCTGTCTGCACTTCTAATCCACTTGGTAACAACAGATAGAAAAGGGTGTGACATTATGCAACTTTTTCAGCAGCTGTTTATCATTCACAACCACTGAATGTGCTCTTGCACTCATTTCTGTTCTGCTGAACTGAAACCATACAGACATGCTGAGAAAATATAAAAAGCTGTACTCCCAAAAATGTTATCACAATTAAAAAACAAAATATACACTTTTTTTAAAAAAAAGGTAAACAAGCATTTAGACTGTTGCATGTGTTCTTTTTGTTTCAGATATAGCTAAAAACTGACAAATCATCCAAAGGCATTTTTATTTGATTTTAAGGTAACACAACTAGAGCAATTAACAACTTAGAAACTTCAAATAAGACTCATGTCTTACAAAGAATTTTAACACTGGATAAAAAGCAAAGTTGCCCGATGATGCCGTAGTTATACCTTTCCAGTGTCTTGTTTCTGTCCTCTCGCCCCCTCTCTTCATCTTTTTTGGGCCTTTGAAGCGTGGGTTCCAGTCCAAAGGTCTCCTGCAGTCGTGCGTAGAGGTCAGTCCGGTTATAGACATGGAACTCAAAGCCGTTGACAGTCACGTAAAGCCTCGTCTCTGCCTTGGGATCTGATGCAAAAACAGAGACAACTAAGAACTCAAGGTGATGTTGCCACATGAAACTAACTCAGTTAGAAAAGTTGCATCTTGATAGTCAAACATAGATAACCTAAGATTTCCAATATATACATATATTTTTTCTGTGGTGGACTAACATATGCATTTAAAAGTTTAATCTAAGCAGTCATCAAATACTTCTCTACTCACCATGTTGTTTCTGTTTTGGATTATACATTTTCCACCAACGAAATATGAGAAAGCCATCCTGTATCCTGTAACACACACAAACAACAATCAGCATGCAAATTATAAGATAAGAGTGGGACGGATGGAGGAGAAGCAACAACAGAAACATCGGTCAGATTACCTGATAGACATGTCTTGGTTGATGTAGTAGACATCTCTGAACATGACCTTCCCTGACAGAACAGAGAAGGAGAAGGAGCCTGTGCACAAAGGCAAAGTTGAACAGTGTGAGCATGTTTTAAAATGGCAACATAAAGTGTTGGTTTTACTATTAAACCGTACTAGTAACATCCTGCAAATTTCTTTGGATTTGATTGCAATGTCTTCAATTCAAGCTTAACCAGTTAAATGAATCATTACAAAACTGCAATTACAGAATTATAAAAGCTCTGGTACAATAACAGCAGCATGGGTGTTGCTGGGATATTTAATCGCACTTTCACTCTTATCAAAGAGAGAGAGAGAAAAAACACCCCAAAAACAATCTTAATTACGATCTAAATCAGCAAGTGGGTCTGAGTCTGTCACTGAGTGAGAAGGATGAATTTGATTTCCTGTTAATAATCTCTTTTGGCTCATAACATGTCTTTCTCAGTTTCAATTACTTCATGCAAACAGAGCGACAGCACCTGAGTGCTTCATGCATTATCATCCAATGTAAAGCTTCCTCACACTGGTGAAATTCCTTTCCACTGACTGACGAGACAATGTCTAACTCGCTCCAAAAATCCACACAGAACCACAAAGGCTAATGCCTTCCTGTAAATTCATGCAGGATTGAGTTGAAGCTAAATGACAGCGAAACACACCTGAGGCATGTTTGAACCTGCTTAACACCTGACACAAATATGTCAGTAAAAAGTATACGTTCTCTTTATCTGGATAGAAAAGTCAATCGCAAACAAAAGGGTGACTGCTCAGTTTGTACCAGCATATGTTGGCAAAGAGATGTCAACTACGCCTTGCTCTTCTCATTAAACTTTCATGCTGCCTTTGTTGTCATTTTGCATTTCTCATTCATGCTGACAGTCAGGTTCAAGTTTGTGTTTAATTGATATGCGTTTTTGAAAGAGAAGCTCACATCCTAAAAACTAAGTAAGGTTTCATTGGATTGTGGATTGTGTCACCCATGTTTAGAAAGTCTGGTATTATTTGCTCAGATGCTGTGGATATAATCACTGAGAGAACCTGGCTCATCATGAAATATTCAGCAGATTGAGTTAACGCCTTCAACTGAACGCTTCCTCCTCCCTATTCATCACTGTGCGACAGAGCTCCTGATGAACACACCGATGTGAATGTAGCCATCCTTGTAGAGTCTGTTGATGATGAGGGTGAGAATGAGGCCAATGTTGCGTGAGTTGTAATAAGTTAAATAGATAATCCATCCACAGGACAGAATGGTGGCTGAAAGGGGAAAGAAAGAACATGATTTCAGTCAGTAAAATAAATTTTAAGAGTTACAGAAGCTTCTGTCTGCTTGTAAACATAACAATTTAGTAGGCCAACACTTTCAAATATAATCACAATGCTTGATTAATCTCTGTTGGGTCAAATTCTGCAACAGCACGCATGAGAACTAGTAACACATTAGGAACCCCACCTGAAAGTACTCTGTTTCCTTAGGCACTATAATTGGTAATGCAGATGGAATTCATATACACTCCATTTCACCTGCTTTAGTGCAAATTCAGGTGAACCTGCTCTTCTCTATAAAAAGATGGGGTATATATTCCTTAATGACTGAATCCAGATATGGATTAAGCTTAAATTCAAAGGACACCTGCTTTTAAAACGTTTATCTAGGACTATACTCAGTCCTAGAGCTCAGTACAGCAAAATGTCCAACATGTCAAGAGAACACATAAACGTACTGTAAACTGAGCTGAATCATTGCTATGCATTCAACACCGAGTATAAAGGCCAAAAAAATGCCCTTCGTGTGCAGTGAAGTGAATTAGATTGCACTCTCATAAAGATGCATTGACTGAAATAATATTACTGCTGCAAAGCCAATATTTGGAACACATACAAATTAAGTGTCTCCATAAAAATTTTAACTACTGACCAACAAGAAGCCAGATGAAGTTGGAATCATGCTTGGTAAGGAAATTATCCAGATCCACAAAGCTGGGGAAGGTGCTTTCATTGGTTTTGGCAGCATGTCCATCCATGGCTACAGGCTCGCAGTCAGGTGTCTAAAACTGAAATGATCAAATGTCAAATTAGTTTCACTGGCACATGAACATGTTTAAGTATGCAATGAACTACATCACTGCAGAGAAAGACAAATACTATCAATAGTGACTTGTTATAACCATCATGCAGATAAATACAAGATTAAACTTTTTTTTTTCCCCTTTAGAAACGTCTCTGCATCCGCACAGCTGCCTCCTCAGGGGGGTGAGTCAACAACTTAAAATTATTCTTGGAAATCACAGGAACTGTTTTGGTACATAGAGTTCCAGATTTCCAGAGGGGCCTTCCACTTTCTCAGTGCACAATTTGAAAGCCAGCATCTGTGGAAGCACGGGATGGTATTAGTGGTCACTACATGAACATTTTGCACATCCGTGAAGAATAAATTCTGAACAAGCTTTGTCTGAATTTCTACCAACATTACTTGTCATGTTCTCATGTTATTGCTAAGGATTGTCTATTGCATTGGAGTCACACTGGGTTAAATATGTACACTTGGGTTTTAAGGGGTATTTATTATTTTCTTCTTTTTTGGGTTGTATGGAAGCCCCAAACGCAATTTCATTGTTCTTGACAATGACAATAAATAAATACTACTACTGAAGTTTTAAAGAAATACTGGCATCCAGATGTCTTTTGTAGGCAATGGCTTGAAACTTGTTCAAACTATATTCTGGATGTTATGAGTCTGAACTGCATGCCTAGACTTATTAAGAGCTGAAAAGTTTAGACTCATTGTGAAAAAACAACAAAGGAAGTCCTGAAGAGCAACTAAGATCCTGTTTACAGTCTTGCTAAAATCAGCAATAATGCAAAACACTAAATATGTCTGTCACAACTGCACCACACTCAAAATGATAAAAACAAACAAACAAACAAAAAAAACCGATGATAATAATAACAATAATAATTAAGTTTCTGGCTCTAATATGTTTTCCTTTAAAATTCTTTAATATAGAGTTTAAATAAGTCACATTTTTTTGCTTTTCTGCTTTTATTTCCATTTTATAGTGTCTTAACTATTTTGCAAACTGTGTCGTACATAATGATAAATGTGCGTTATCAAAACTGCTGCATCGACACAGCAAGTTACATGTTAGAACTACACTATGTCTACACTGGCAGGGCTGCATCATATTTGGCATAAAATTTGCATAAAGTTTTTTTTAAGATTTCAAACCAGTCACATAATGCATATTTCCAGTACATTACAGTACAGTATGCATAACATGACGCACAATCATAATTAGGAAAATGCGTAACTACTTTGCATGTTGTGGCTCGTTCAGTTATTTGTATTTGCTTCAATGATTATTAGTGACAGGAGGCTGGTGAAAGGCTCATGTGTGCCCGTGTATGCTGTGATCTCAGTCACCCCATGCTTAAAGGCTTCAATACTGTACACACAAACACAAATCCTCATCTAATCCACCCCAAACATTGTTGGCTGTAAAACCAGTGAGATGAAAACAATCCCAGCACAATTTCCAACAGAAAACACAGTTTCTAAAAGTTTCTTTCTGACAGATACTACATGTAACTACATGTGTTTGCTTGTCACATTTGACAGACTTTAAATTAACAGACGTTTCTGATCTCACATGGACCTGCTAGATGCTAATCCTGCTGTGGCTGTCGGTTTCTCTTCTGAAGCAAATTATAAGGAAATGGGCAAAAGATCCTTTAGGTCAACCTGCCCACATTCCAGAATCTTACTTCCTGGCTAGCCTACCATGATTCCTTATCATAAAGCTTACCTCACTCTTTTGTATATCCAAAACACACAGAAAGAGTACTAACAGCGAACAGAAGAGAGATTATATTTCTCTCATATTAGCTTCTCTTCAGTGGCTCCCTTTTAAATCGAGAAGTGATATTAAAAAAAATTTCCTTCTAACATACAATTTCCTCAATGATCGTGTTCCCATCACATTAAAGTCATCATAGCATTACATTATGATGATGCACTGAGCACTTCTTCTCCCCTCTCATCTTTTCATATCACTCCTGGTGTGAGATTTACACTCTCATGTTAAAGCAAAGTGTTAATACATTAAAACGCCAAACCTCTCTAAAATTCTTTAACTCACACCATATTCTGACATGCATTTCCAGCTAGTACAACTACGACTTTCGCTGCTATTTTTAAAATCAAATGAAAAAAAAAAGGGATCAACTTGACTTGATAAACCACAGAACATATAACCACTTGCAAAGCTAAAACATAGACTCTACACTGTTAAGAGTAAATCACATTTTGCATGGTTGTCTGAAGCATTAATTTAACACAGAAGTCTGAATGATCATCAGCCATCAAACCAAAGTATGATGTTTAAATCATATGTTTACAAAAAAAACCCAAAAAAACAAAACTGTATTCTGGAAATACCCAGACTACGTATTCCTGTAAGGCAAGTTCAGGTTTTACAATCTAGCACATGATATGAGATGCTGGCTTTCAGGAAAGATCAGCGTTGGCAATCACTGACTCATAATTGTTTTCTGCAAGCTCAGTGTTTTCACTTTAGGTTCATAATGGTGACTAGATTACAGCAAGAAGTCATCACCTGAAGTAAACAACACCCATCAGTCTTTAGTTTGTAAACAACAATTATGTTAACTAACTTTTTCATGCCAACGACCATTCAATGGGCACACTGAGCAGAACTACTGCATAATTCAGTACATGGGGGGGGGGGGGGGGAACATCCCTCTATTCTTCATTAAAGAGGTGCATTATAAACATATACACATTTTTACACAATGAGCAAATGTACAACACACTGGGATGTCTTAAGAAAAAAGTGCAATTTAAGTCTCTTTCTAGACTTAGTGAGTCTACTGTCACTGAGCGTTCATTACAATTTCATTATAAATGCTAGCTTGTGGTTGGGATTCTGACAACAAAAAAACAAAGGTACACAAACAATCGAGGCGCACTGTCCCATTGCCGTAGTTGAAAAAGGCTATACAGAGAATCCATAGCTAAGATGACTGGCAGATTAAAAGCCCCAAAATATGTGCATTAATTTGATTATCAGCATTATATTAGCGCACACAGGTAACCAAAGAGCAATTAAGACGTTTAACCCAAATAAATGTCGGACTGCAAGATGAACCGAACGTGGCAAAAAAATAAAAAATAAAAATGGGGAAGTTGTCTGTCAGTTTGCCTTTGTTGACAGAGGTAATGACATATATAAAAGGACATCGCTGCATCATTTTATAGAAGGCCAGGTGTGAAACGATTACTCACTCCAGCTCAGTGTAATCTGGAATCCAGAGACACCTGAAACTAACCACACACCTAGCTAATCCCAAGTCTTGAGCAATTTCCTGAGCATTACCTACAACAAACAAAAACTGTTGTTGAATTTAGCTTATCTTCCTATCTTCTTTTTAAACATTCGTAGCAAAAGTCTGAGTTACTGATTTGTCCTCTGCAGTCAGCCTCCTTCTTCGCTAATGACGTATTAAGCCATTAATTTAAGAGCCGCTCAATATCATAACGTTAACGTTAGCACTGAGGTTAGCTAGCATGCTAATGACAGCAGGCCGCGCCCTCCAACTTCTCCTTTTCTGAACTGTCAAAACAAAACAGCTGGTGTTCCTTACATACCTTAATATCCTCAGTAAAGAATGGGCTTTCATCTTTGCTCCAGTTAGCCCGGAGTTTCTGTCCTTTAGTAGTGTCGGAAATGACCACAGCTAGCATCCCCGGTGTGTACTATTTACCTGCCAGGCAGACGACCAGTTAGCATCTCTTCCTGTTGTGACGAGACCGGCCACAAAAACTACCAATAGGAAAAAAGAGCCAAGGCAGCTTCTGACCAATTAGATGAGAGCGTGACACACAGCTGACAGACATTCTTCCTGCCTTCCAGCGTGATTGTATTTGTGACAATGGTGTTTGACGTCGTATTGGTTACATAAAATCGATATACCGTAACATAAAAATTACTTCATGCATTAAAATAATACACACATTACTCTGTGAGTTGCTAGAGTATTAAACAAAGAGCACATACTGATCAGAGATGCTTATATTTTTCATAAATGATGACTTTATTTTTGTTGGTTTCGGATTAGTTTTCATTATCTTGAATTTGTTCTTCATTTTTTAATCACTACAAAAAAAATAAAAAAAATAAAAAATAATAATAATAATACAATATTGAATTTAATGTATTTTTATTTTTCCAGTTGACTAGTCCTCTGTTTTTGTGAACTATAACTTGAACATCACTCTTCACGGATGGTACCTACCTTCAAGCTGTTCAGTGCATTTAAATATGCACTGAACCTCCTGCTAATTCAGTTTAGCTGCACAGATTGCTTCAGAATGCCATGAAACATATACTCAGGTATCATGTATTTGCAATATTAACTACACTTCTTGCACTATGTTGTTTCCTTCTGTAATCTGGGCTCTACCTTCTTGCACTAAAAGCACTTTAAAGTTAGGTACACTGATACACTGCACTGCTTCTAGGGAGTGATGTGTTACACGCTTTGTTGTGTGTTGTTGGCAACAATTGGCAGACAATTTCCTATCAGCTGTGTTGCTGATATGACTACAATCAACTTGAATTTACCTTTAACAGCATTGCTTGTGTTTTTAGTCAACATTTGAACATTGTTAGATGGTTATAAACAGGTATAGTGCACTGCCAGCTGAGTGCAGGCTATTCCGGAGAAGTATACTAATACTTTATTTCCTGGCATCTCATCAAAACAGAAAGTGTAATGTGTAGGCTGATCACGCCAAGACTTCAACACTATACATTCAGCCTGTCCCACAATCTTAATTAGATTTTTTGGTTGAAGAAATTCTTTCTAAATTATATTACAGTGTGTTGAGCAGCACAGCTCCTCTATGCTAATTCTGTGTCTTGGGGATGGTGAAATATTTTAGTCAAAAGAATTATAACAACTTCATATTTATTCTTCCAGACCTTTCAACAATTCTCTTCGTTAGATTTGTAAATGGTCCCAAAATGGTTTATAACATTTTTCTGTTACAAACTTACAAAGAATGTTTAAAGTAAGACATTCTCTAGGAATATATGTAATTTTCTGCCAAGTTGTTATATTAACTTTGGATATTTTTGCTCTTATAGACTATGGCAATATCTGCACAGTAGAAAATGACTGACATTTGAGCAGTTTGGGGATGTTGTAAGAAAAATATTGCAAAAGCAAGGAGCAGGTAGTTCACATGATGAAGAGCTAGTTTAAATGATTATACTGTTTCCCCTTCTTTGTATCTGCAGTCCAGAGATTGAAAGCTAAATTGTAGGCACTAGAAGAGTATTCTGATCTCTGTATCTCTGAATTTTGAAAAGGGAGAATTCAATCTAGTGTGATGAATTTTTGTTTTTATGTTTTTATGTATTTAACCTTTCTTGTATTGTATAGCTTTATGTACCCTGTCCAGGGACTCTGAATGTGAATTAGAAGGTCCAAAGAAATCTGCCATGTTCCCATGTTAGACTTTTATACCGATGTTCATTATGTGTCAGTCAATCTATGTGTTTAGCAGATTGTTTATAAAGTAGTTATAATAAATATAATAAATTAGAACAATTCAAAAATTTAATCACTTTATTCAAATACATTTGCTTCTGTAGGGATCATGAATATTATTCAAAATTTCATGGCAAAATTAAATCATTTTGTTGCAAAGTGTTTTGAAATATTGACGGTTTCCGTTCCCATAACTAAACCATGCTGGTCTTCACTTCTTCTTGGAGAATTGCTTCCTCCATTTTCACCAATATTATGAAATTATTAATAATATTTGAACCTTAAGTTGATGAAAATGCTTCTAGCCTGGGAGCCATAACAACAACAATAATAAAAATAATAATACTAAAAGAGAAAAACAAGAAGCAATTTGATTGCTGTTATATTAAAAAATAAAATATAAATTCAAAAACACCAGAAAACAGTACAGGCCACAACTCTTTGTTATCTCCAGGAATTGCCTGAACTCTTGGGTATTGTTTAATGTAAGAGGATGTTGTCAAGCCTTCCTCCAGTCACAACAACAAAGCCTCCCCAAAGAACACGTGGGAGTCGCTTTACCGCAAAGCTTGCAAACATCAGGTTCAAAGCTCTTCCCTGCCAATCAAGCCCTTCCCACAAGACCAGCCTATTTTTTGCCGTAGCTTTAACGGAAACCCGCATCTCACACAAATCCTTTTTCCTGTCTTGTGAGTGTTATTTCACCTGAATTCCTGAAGGATGTCCGTGGTATCGCAGCTACAAATACTATATTAGTAATTAACAGCTCCTTCACTTTTGCTTCATTACCCTCTTGTTTTTAAACATGCAGCAGTTCAAGGCTCTCTAGAGGACACGTAATTAGACTTTTCTTGCATGAGGCAATTACAGAAAGGCTATGAACTTCAAAATTGTCTTTTTTTCCCTCTAATGGTTTACAAAAAGCAGATTTTTTTATTTTTAAAGATGGTCCAATCTAAAAGAAGCTGCACTTAGCTTACGAAGGCCTCCACTTCAGGCCTCATTCTCTGACACCATTGAGCAGTTTTGCATTATTCAAATGTCATTAATGTTATTCAGCAAGATCATCTTGAAACACACAGACCCACTGGTGTTTACTGTATCCGCTTGATTGATCAGCCATGTGTGTTCTCAGGGTCTTAGGTCCGGTGCGACTCTCTTTGCATACTGAAGACCTCCACTCGGTCTCATCAGAGTATCAGATTTCATTGTGAACACTTTGCCTGATATTATAACTTGGATTTATTAACAACTTCATCTCAGGAAATCAATTACTGACTGGCTAAAGTACACTTGGCACACTCAGTTACATCGAGGACTCTCGTGTTCATCAGTCAGTCAAACTGAGCTTGCCAGTAAAAATCATAGTGATGTTTGGGAGCACTTCCAAAAGCACAGTTGTAAAACTTGCTGATGAGAGAGGCCCCAGCTATCAATGGTGCATATACATTCCCAATAGATGGGATTGCACTCTCAGCTATATTCAGCTTTGCTTTAAACAAAACAATGATACACACATTTGGAAACAATCTAAAAACAAGTACAGCTGCAAGCTCATTGGTCATAATCCAATATTTTAATGGTGCCAGCATATCGGGGGCCGTAATACTTTGCAAGACATTTCATTACTATCCGTCCAATAATGCCAAGAACTGCAAATGTTCTACTTTCCAGCAGAAACTGAGGCAAAGTCAATAAATGAAAAGTATGACAAAAAGGGCCCAAAGTGTAAGAGGCTCCTGCAGGAATGATACCTCCTGCAGTGCACTGTCCTGAGTTTGAATCTGCAGGTCAGCTGGCGGCTTTCTATGTTGAGTTTGCATGTTCGTTTTATGTCTGTGTGGCTTCTTTCTGCGTATTCGAGCTTCCTCCCACAGTCCAAATACATGTCTCGTTAACTGGTGAAACTAAATTGGCTGTAGGTGTGAACATGATCATTAATGCTTTTGGTCGTTCTGTATTGGCCCTGTGATGGACTTCAGCAAATTCTTCAGCGTGTACCCTGCCTCGTGCCCAAAGCTGTGATAGACTGAAGGCCCCCCACACCCTATGTCCCTGAAATTGATACATGGTTAAGAAAGGTAATAATTGGACCCTGCAGATTGTTATTTTTTTATTATCACGTCTGCTGCTGCACACTATCCTGCCAAAACAGAACTGGCTCTGCACATGCACCAGCTTCATCTCCTGGGAACACCAGGTGTTTGCACACTATTTTGTGAAATTCCACATTAAAGCTTATGGGATATATATATGTCTGGCAGATATTAGTAGTTGCCCGGCACGGCACAGCATAGCTAAGAGAAGCATCGAGTTTATGATGAGAAGCTGATAAAGTCCTCTGCAAGAACAGACACCTTAAAAAGCTTCAGCTTCAGATTTTTACCCAGTCAGTTGCAGAAGAGTTTAATTTCTTTGTCTCTTTAAAGGTTAATATGAAATAGAAAATGAAAATATATCGATAAGCTAATCATTGTAAAATACATTTGGACATAAAAACACATTTTCAAAATTAACCAAAAGTATTGAAATAAAAACTGCTGAAACTTATTAATGCTGTTTTTGTTAAGGAGCATGAAAAACGAAACATCTCAGCTTATTGCTATTGTCAAAATATGAAGTTGAATCAGCCTTTACTATCAGGGACCTTCAGCTTTCAGACCTTAATTTTTGAGGAACTTGGAAGGGCAAAGATTTACAACCAGATACTTCTTTGTTTGTTATTACTGTTTTTATTATTCATGAACTAATGTACACAAGTTAATGTACAATTAGACAAATAAAAAAAAAATTCCAATATGCAAGTACAAAGAAAGTTTAAGATTAAAAATATAATAAAAATGTAATATGGCGCAACATCCAGTAAGCTTATTACAGAGCCACGCAAACAAGATTTTAAGACAAAAGCAAATTTAGGGTTGCAGTAAAGCTGGGCATTTCCAACAATCCAATAACCAGGCAGTTACTGTGGAAGAAAAAAAAAAATCTATTTTACATACAACTGGGAAATGCATTCAGTAATGGCAACTAAACACACATTGAGTCTGTCAGGAGGGATTACGAGGAGATTTAATTTAGAGTGCTTTTGTCTTTGTCCATACTGAAATATGGGCGCCTTGATTACATAACCTTTCTGTAAAGTCAGGCAATCGACACCGCTCACATTAATTGAACAAAGATAATTAAAAAAAGAAAAAGGCAAGTGTCAGAGGTTTAAAGGTCAGCGGAGGCTGTTGCACGATGCAGGCAGGGA